CCCCCGCCCGTCCCCCATTCATACACCCACGGAGCGCTCGTCCCTCCCAGACTCTCATGGTCACTGCCTCTGTCCTGGTGATAAAACACCAGCTTATCACTAGTTTCCATTCAGCTTCTTATGTAACGTCAAACGCGGGGAGGAAGTGCTGTCCGCTGTGGTCGAAGAATGCGTCTGTGTGTGTGCGTGTGTGTGTGTGTGTGTGTGTGTGTGTGTGTGTGTGTGTGTGTGTGTGTGAGGAAGAGTTAGACAACGTGTGGAGTGGAACAGGTTTCCACATGAGAGTAAACCCAACAAACATGCACAACAGTGGAAAAGTGTGCTCAGCTGATTAATGCACACACACACATACACACACACACACACACACACACACACACACACGCACACAGATGAACCCCTTCCCAAAGTCTCCACACTCCTTACGCACACATCACTCTCACACTGTGTCTCTGTCTCACACAAAACCATGTTGTATTGTACGGGTTGTTGCTAGGAGACAAACTAATTCCAAACCTCTTGAAACAGAGGGACTCGCTCCTCGTTTCCGAGCCAGTACGCCGGGAGAGAGAAAGCGAGAGTGGAGGAGAGGGGAGAGTAGGGGAGAGTAGGGGAGAGTAGGGACGGGGGCTGGAAAAGACAAGAGAGCAACACTCCCACGCAAGAAAAAAAAAAAAGCAAAAGCAAAAGGCGGCTTTCACTCCGGGCGGGAACATGTCCACGGACTCATCACGGAGTCAAAAACTGGTCACTCCACAAAATGGCCGGGTTCGCCGCTCCTCTTCCCCCTTCCTCTTCCTCACGCAGGAAAAAAAACGAGAGTGACAGCTGTGACCAAGAACACTTTTTAGGATTCATCTGGGACATTTCAATTGTGATCTATCGTGTTTGGTCGAGAGAATTTGCTACAGAGTCGCTGTGTGCTCTCCGACTCCAACACAAAGCATTGTGCTTTAACGCCGAATATCCGGCACGTGTGGCGGGGGCCACGCAGGAGGGCCGATGTAGCGCCAATGAAGTGAGCCTCGGGCCAAATATGTGTACGTATTTATGTACGCACTACGCCGTGACCTTCAGGGTGTTATTTAATCGAAAAATTCATTGGAATACTGAGTGAACGTAATATTGATCCCTGGACCGGCAGAAAGAAATACACACACATGTAGTAGTGATGTTCCTGAGCTGCACTGGAACCAGTAAGCCAGCGCCAGCATTCATGATACGCACTGGAAATTGCTTTGTTTTAAAGGTTGCAGGTCACACTCACAGATCCGCCCCTTTTTACTGTGGAGTGACGTCTGCCACTATTTGCCAGTCAGGTGCTTATAATGTCATTACACGCACACGCACACGGAACAAATGGTGCAGACAGACACTTCCAACCTCCTGTCATGTGCTCTTCATTTCCATCATGCCATCGCTGCTGGTCCCCCCCCTCTCTCCGCCGTGTCACATGCCGCGGTGGCGGGAGGTCAGCTCTGCCCGCCTGTCCGTCCGTCTGACGGCGCAGGGAGCGCGCTGCGCCTCCTGCGCCGTCAGCGTTTTATTTACTGCAGATTCGGGCCTACAGCGAGAGACACGAGGGTCCGACGCGGACGGCGGTCGGAGCTTTCGGATCTGAAACGGCTCACGTGCAAACGGCATAATTCCTATAAAAAGCCAAACAGAAGCGATCGATCCCGGCGTTAAGCCAAAAGTGAAAGACGGAGATGAAGATGGACGCCGGGTGTCTCCAACATCGTTCCTTAAACTGCGGCCTCACCATTACATTACTTTACATGTGATTATTGGGTGCAAACATCCGCTCACTCCAGCGGTTCCACAGATTTGAATGTGATGTTAAAGTTACTAGAAGGAGGGGAAGTGTTCGGGTCCGTCCTGGTTCTCCGCGGCGGCTGAGTCACCGGCTCTGGTGTGAGATAATGGTGAACATGCCGCGTTTTAGGCTCGCTCGCCAACAGTTTGAATGTATTTATGTTTTACGGGCCTCCCCCGGTTTCTTTCATCTTCCGCACGACGTCCAGTCACCGGTTTTTCACTCCCGGCTTCACGCGACGGCGGTGAGTCAGCGTGCGTCACAGAGCGATTCACCCAGATGTGGTCGGCCATGTTTGTTTACCTACGATCCCCCTCTCTTCTTTCTGCTGCGTCGTCATCCGTGAGCGGAGACGGGACGCAGGGGTGGAATGAGTTGATTAAAAGGGAGGATTGTTCTGGTTTTTGGAGAGGGTTTAAAATAAAAATGAAACACAAATTCCATTTGAAGTTTATTTTACTTCATCTCCATCGTCTTTATTCCCTCATCCTTTACTGCAGCCCATGAAACTTGTCATTGTAAAGCCGAGCGTTGAGTAGGTCATTAATTGAATAACTAAATGATTATAGCAGCAAACTAAAATGAGGAGAAATGAGTGATTTAAAGCACCGTTAAAGTATTCTTTAGGGAATCGTTTGCCTTTATTACAGTAATGAGATTAACTCCACATCCACCTGAGTTTATGTTTCTTTCACGGATCCTTAATTTATTAATTATATACCAATATTAAACCTTATGTGGAAGAACTTATTGGAAAAACTGAGATAGGTTCAATTTTTATTTTTTCCAACTAATTGATTCCAATGAATTGCCAGCAGGTCTTTGGAAATACTGTTTTTTGAAATATTAATTAAATAATTTCACATTTCTTATCAATATTAATACAGTTATGGAATAATCTATTCCCCCGGATACGTAGATTAAAAAGGGCTACCTGGATTATGGAGACCGACGCGTCACATATTTAGTTGGAATAGAAGCCGAACTCCACCAACAGTGAAATGTGTGTTTGTGAATCCTTTAACCTCGCGTATCACGCCAAAACAAAGAGCGCCTTCATCACTCTGTGTGCCAGCGGAAGCTTTACCGGAGTGAGCAGACACTTACGGGAGACCCAGTGCACAACGAGGAGGAATGAGGCCTTGGAGGATGCGACACGAAGCCTTTCACCGGGACGTGAGAGGCGCTTTGAGTCCACCTGAGAGAAATCCACGTGATCCGCTCTCAGGCTGCTGCTTTTCCTCCCGACCGCCACCGTGTTAACAACCGAGACTCCGGATCACGGCCGTTCGCCTGGATGCATCGGAGCAAAATGAACCTTGAAAAATCTAATAGAATATCTCCTCCAGCTCTGGGTGTTGCATTTTCTCAGTACAGCCTCCGAACAAACTACCAGGAGGTGTTTATTCAGTTTGATCAAGTATTTATTTCCTTATTTCCTCTCCTAACTGTTATTCAAACGGAAAGTCTGTTGCGATAAATGATCTCTTTCACGAGTGGAAAACACTTTACCGTTGGTTCGTTCTCTCTTTCAGCGACATTTTAACAGTAACGTCAGGCTACATATTGTCCCGCATTAGATGGAAATGTGGATAAATGCTCGTGGTCGAGGGGCAGAAACAAAGCCGTCACTCAGGGACGGAAGCGCCTCCGTGTGACCTCTGAACTACACAGGCCGATAGCATGGTTAGCCGCGTGTTCCTGGCAACCAGCTGATGACGCGACAGCACTTTCGCCTTTTATACCCGTTATACCTCTTTGAAAGCCCTTCTGTGTGTGATGGAGGAACACAGATGGCTCCTTCTCAATATATTTTTCGTTCTCCATCACCGTCGTCATCCTCCTCCACCACCCTCCTCCTCGTCACTGGTTTTCTCAGCACCCGTGTTGTTTAACAGTCTTGACCGTGCGTGCAGTCGTCGCGCCAAAACGTGTCACCGACGGGCTCATCAAAGCAACAATGAGCCTCCCACTGCGGACCATTAGCCACCCGTCGCATCGCCGGTCCCGATGCATTTATTCGGCTTGTGCAATATTAAAGAGTGGCTGCTGCTGCAGCTCCTGTTTTATCTTTGAAACATTGTAAAACTGCCAATTGGGGCTTTAATTGCTCCCGTATAGTTCAATCCAGTGGAAATATTTGAAAAATGAACGTCTGTTAAGTGAGAAAACCGCTACCGACGTGGCGTTATCGCCTCTTGTATTTAAAAGTCTATCCCTTTGTTAAAAGCCTCATATTCAGCATTGCAACCTGCGATTATTCTCTCTGGCGTGTTAGAAAATGTCGTCATCTGCCGAACCACCAAGTCCCAAAAAAAAGAAACTGCCTCCTGAAGGCAGCGTGGTTTCTCTTCTCGTTCCAGCTGTGGACACTTCATTATTTTTTCGTGCTGCTGCAGGAGCTGCGACTCGACTGGATCCCTCCGCGGTGGGACCATGTCCACCTTTCTGGATCACATGTTCACTTATGCTTCACGTGGGACGTCTCGGGCCGACCACGACATTCAAATTGCAGACAAAAGCAGATGTTTTCTTTCTTTGATACTTTATTTAAAGGCTTTTAATGAGATTACAGAAAAGTAAACTCAGACATGTGCTGAAAGGAAAGTAAATAAATGAATGAATTGCTACATAAACACTACATAAAGTCTTCTTAATGTGTCATATTTAACGCATACTGAGCTGAGGAAAGAGAGAGAACCACCAGAAATGAGCTGAATGAGACTCGCCAAATTACATTTTTAAATGTGAGTGTGTTCACAATTCAATGAAAACAAACATGCAGATGTAAAAGTTCATTTTCGGCTCTACGGGGCTTCGTGGAAGGTGAAAGAAAGTTTCACAGGAGCGCACCGAGGTATGAATGCATTCCAAAAGCATTGTTGGTTTGTGTGAAGAGTTTGGTATAATCCCAGGTGTGTGTGTGTGTGTGTGTGTGTGTGTTGGAAGACACTGGTGTTCCACTAATAAGGAGCCCATCTGACAGCCGTCTGACAGCCTCCTGACAGACAACGAGCCGGCTTTGTGCTGAGCTACTGGAATATTCCTGGCATCTCTGGCTCGGGGTTAACTCCTGGGACGCCGCAGCAACGCTGAATCAATTTAGATTCTGCAGATTCCAGGTTTATTTCCTTCTCTTCAAATCTGATTTTCAGTCCGACAAATGACAGCACGCACCACTCAGTAGGATTAATCAGAAATATTTCCTCTTTATTGAATTGTCAGGGTCGGGCATTCGCGGCACATTGACAGAAAAAAAACCAAATCAATACTTACCTTTTTTTTTTGTGCGGAAGTTACATAAACGCCGCTTATGTTACTGGCCAGAAACCCAGCAGACAATGTAGCTGTTGAATTTAACCACACAGAAATCTACATTGTATGCCAGGTTCAGGACGGAGCAAAGGAGCACCTCTTCACCGCCGAGGCTTTTCAAACTCTCCTCCGGCAAGAATCGCCCCTTGAAATTTCTGTCCCCGGGAACATTGAAAGTTGAACTTTCATAGCGTTTACCAAGGACATGCACCAATGTTCGTGCACAAAGAGCACGAAGGGAGAGCAAACGGGAGAGAAAGCGAGCGGGAGGGAGGGAGAGAATTAAAAGAATGGCGATAGAGGAAGGAGTTAAAAAAAAAAACACACACACAACACCACAGCGACACAAAAAGCCTCGACAAGGGCCCCTTGTAGAGTTGTGACACAGAGAACATCCTGTCTGTGGGGTCGCAGGATGAAGCCCCCCCCCTCCACGCCCTCATCCTCCCCGACCCCGCAGCCAATCGAGGGGATTGGAATGTGCCACCGGGCCAATGGGAACCGGGGAAGTGGGCCGAGCCGCCGGAGACCCAGTAGCCAGATGTAGCTGCTGATTGCTACACAGGATCTACACTGCCTACTGAGCAACCGGCAGGAGCCACGCAGCCGTGAACCGCCAAAGGCCGGCCGGTTCTCCTCGGCAGGAGGGGGCGGGGGGGGGTCCGCCTGTGGGAGAAAGAACAAATAGACCCCCGTTATTAACACGTGCAGAAGAGGGCGCAGTGAGACTGGGAGGAGGAGAGAAAAAGGATGAGGAGGAGGAGGAGGACAGAGGAACCGGGCGAGAGGAGGAGACCAAGCAAGAAAATGCGCCCGGGGGAAAGGGAAGGACACGGGAGATTATCTGCTGACGAACATCTCCTAAGCGGCAGCGTTATCGCAGATTCCTGTTATTCTTTCCCTTTAACCCCCCCGAGGCGCTAGCCGCCGGCGGCCACGCCTGTCACATGACCTTAATGACCTACGATGCAGGTGAAGAGGTCTGCATACCTGAGGCCCCATGACCGCATTGATCAGTGTGAGCAGCCGGTCGCTTGACTCGAGTTTCTTGTTGCTGTGGGAAATCCACAACGACTCCCTCCCCATGTTCTAGTCTCACTTTGCTTTCTTTACAAATGCTTTTTTTCTGAAAGAAAATAGCGGCCGTCACCTTAGGAGGACGCTGGCGTCTCTGGTGGTGCGGCGGCGTCTCTGGGATGAGCTGTGATGAATCGGGCCAACCTGGAACACACACACACACACACAGAAGAAAAGACTTGAGTGGAGCAGACACACAGGAATTCAAATGAAATCCCTCACACGGGATGCATTTCAGAGCTGTCAGCGGCACTGTAAGTGAAAGTGTGATATTAACAGGTCCAGACCGGTGAGCCGGAGCTACAGATAAGGGGATAAAGTCCTCCATGTCTTATCTCTGTCTATTTTTCCATGCTTTGGCGATGCTGCCGCGGCCGCCGGGGCAGAGAAGTCGAAGGTACGCGGAGCAATCGCCCCCCCCCCGCACAGGAAGTTACGCGGCAGCGCTTTTTAACGAAGTGATACCGGCGGATGAGGAGGAGGATCGGAGCAGACACGTGGTCACTGGTGGAGGTGCCGGAATGCCCGTGTTCACGGCACATCGGCATGCGGAATCGGGAAGAGGTCAGGTGCCCGTTTGGCTCATCGCGTTGA